CTAGCAATTCAAAGGGCTCCCCTGCCATTGTGGCAGCTGGAGCCCCGGGTCCTTTAAATTGCCGCAGGAGTGCTGAACCACGCACATCGACTGGCTCTAAGGCAGTGGGCCTCAAACATTTTGGCCCATGGCCCACCCTGCTCAATGCAGACCATCAGCCAACCACCCATGATGATAAAATGGGTGCAGGATGGAGTGTGTGGGGGGGTCTGGCTGGGAGGTATGGTGCAGGAGCAGGCAGATGGTGGTGACCTGGCCAGGTGGTATGGAGCAGGAGTGGGCAGAGCATGAAGGGGGGGGGTAGGTCTGGCTGGGAGGGAGGTTGGGTGCAAGAGCAGGGTAGGGGTATGGATGTAAAATCCCAGTTAATCAGCTGACCAGTTAAACATTAGGTTTAACCAGTTAACTGATTAAGAGAGACCCCAGGGGGACTGCTCAAGCCAGGCTGGGTCTTTTCCCCTGCCCACCCCCATGTGCGGCCCTGCAGAACTGCATCTTTCCCTTGAAAGCCAGATCTAGCCTGGAGACTTGCCTTCCCACTGCTTGCCAGATCTTGCCAGATCTGGCAAGTTTCCAGGCCAGATCCGGCTTTCAGCAGTGGGAAAGCCAGTGCTGGCACTCCAACCTCACAGGGAGGGGGCACAGAGAGGGAGCACCAGCGCAGGTTCCCTCGCAGGGAGGGGGTGAGCCCCAAGCAGACCCCCACCTGCAAGATGGTGGAGAACCATGCGTGGTCCATGGGCCACGCTTTGAGAACCACTGTCCTAGAGGATAGCTGGAATAGCAGTAGATAAAACGTTTTCAGAGAGCGTTACGTGTTTATTTTACACTGGCTGCCTCTTTCAAATATTTTTTCCAGGGGATTATGTTGCTCCTTTGGCTACAAAAGAGAGACAAGGACTTTGGTTATAGTGAGAGAGTCAGAGTTGAAATAATAAAGTTTATCTGGAAGAGAACGTCTCCAAATCCAGCGGCTGTTGTGAGTTGGCCCCTCTTAAGGGGAGAGAATTGCTACAATGATGGGATATCAGCTCCAAAGTTTTGGAAAGGCTACGGACGTTTATATCTAGGAAAAGCACATTCATTGGGTTCCTGTAGGGGGTCATTGGCCATACCAAGGAAACTTGAGAGGAAGGAGGTGAATTGCCAAGTTTAGATCAGGAGGAGTCACCCACAGACATGTAACATCTCTTGAAACCAATTGACATAAACCAGAGAAACTTTTGCTACTGAAAAGTGCTCTGAAGTTACCAAAGATTTTACATGTCCCAAGTTCTTCCTTACTACTAGCCTGGGGCATCATCCCCAGGTTCCCGATTACAGTGACCTTCAGCATTATTCTTTAGCACTTATGTCCTTGTGAAACAAAAACCTTCCAACGGCAAGCCAACTTCAGGCCAATAACGCGGAGACCTGGGAAAGGCATGCCATATGGTAGCGTTTGTGGGGTAGGGAATGGCCCCTGATCCCTTCTGCTTTCCTCTGAGCTTCGGCAGCTCAAACATATATATCCCGTATCACACGTGTGCCACAGCCGTCTCTCCAACAAGATCTGTTCGAGGCACAAGCCGTTCTGGGGAGAGCTTGGAATCCCATAGTCTGGCCTATTCTGCTCTAGAGTGGGAGTGGAAACTCTCCCCTCCGCCATGCAGGCTGTGTGCATGTTTGAGGTCACCCAAATTCTATCTCCCATGCTGCCCTCTGAACCCAACTCATCGAAGACTAACACACGAAGAACACTGGGAATGTGGTCTTGAGCATGATGGCCAAGGGTGTGCTAACCTTCCCCTCCCTAGGGATGCGTTTTATAGCAGTCTGATGAGATAAGCCAGAGAAGAGGATGCAAACCATCCCATGTATTTTGTTAGAGGGCTGCTATTATTTGGGGGTTTGCTATTTAAGAATTGGGCTTTGTTGTTGTTGTTTGCTAGTGAGGTCTCTTTCGGAGATGGGAAAAGGGGGCATAGCCAGGGGCTGTATTCACAAGGGGAATGATTGCACGACATGCAGTACACACGAGCTGGAGGCTTGTTCAGTTGTGTCATAAAGAAGAGGGCAGGTCAGTTGATTTTAATTTTGATTAAATGTATTATCATTAATTATTATTATCAATGTTTATTGTCAAGGCTGGAAACATTATGCTTGGAACGTAACAAGGAGCAGAAAAGATGGGCCCATTCTGTAGCAGTTTATAAAATGCACTTTATTCCTTCTCTGATTACCCCTCAAAAACTCCTGTGGAGTTAAGACATGTAACCACAGATTTTTACACATGGCCTTCCAAGCAGCTCTCCTGACTTTGGGCTCCAATCCCATTCATCTGGTATGTAATTCACGTGTGGTTTCTTTAAAGCACATATGAACAACACGTGATCTACACTGAGAGCCTATGATCCACATAGACCCATGTGTCCCAAACCTTTCATTTTGATTTTTGTTGGTTATTCTATTGTGTGGAATGAAGCACTAGATCTGAAATGTCGTTTAGAATACTGACAAAGGCACAGCATTGTAGAGACTGCTTATTTTCTTTTTAAACAGGATCTGTTTCACATCCATTTCCCCTAGGGCATTCTATTAGCTATGGAGTTTCTCTAGCACTGATGCATGCAGGCTTGTGGTGAAGGCATTCAGAAGCCGTGTCATCACTTCAGAGATCAGGGTACACAGTACGGTAATTGCTCTTCATTTATATGGTAATTGTTCATCATTCGGTAAGATAGATACATATAGAGGTCATTGGGGTTTTATTTAAGTAAGATCGGTCCCATACTATGTAGCATGCAATAGGAAGGTTATTGTACAAGTGATCTGTTTTAGAGCAGAGCTAACTTTGATTTTATGACTATTCACTGGTTTTTAAAGTTTTTTGATATTATACAGCATCTTCCACACGCAACGTGTCTTATAGCTCTGCACAAAGCTGCCAGAAGATACAGGCAACTCAAGTTGATTGAGGAAAAATGGGAACAAAATTTCCCAAAGTTGTTTTTGAATGTTTCCCCCTTTGAATGACATTTTTCATATCGTGAAATTTGAAACATTTCAATCCGTTCCACAGCCGGGTCAGAAATGCAGGAAAATGTCACAAAGGTGTGCTGGTTTATGTTTTGAATATCAAAATGGAACCGTCAAAAAATGTCATCCTGCAGTAGAGGCAATACACTGGTTGTGAAGGGGACTATGACAAGGTCTCAGCAATAGCTCACAGAGTTCTTATCGAGGAACAGCAGGTGGGGTCTTCCTCCGCTCGTCTCCAGAAAGGACTGTCTGACTTTGAACTTGTCGCTGGACAGCCTCCAAACCTGGACAGAATTTGGTCTGCGGTCTGATCTGAACTCTCATAGAACGCTTCACTCCAGCCCAGTGGTGTCAGTAGATGGATTAACCATTGAAATGAAGCCTTATTTTTCTCTACTGAGCCACACAGCTGGGTATTTGTCTATTTTTTTTTGCATTCGCTACATAAGTTTACATGCAGGATCATGAAATTTACCATTTGAATCCCAAATGATGACAAGGCAAATGAAGAATAATTACGTCATATAGGTTCCCTGGGCAGTGGCATACATTTCTGGCTGAACGGCTGTGTAAAATGCCTCACACAAGCTTCCAAATTCAAGCACCACTAAGGCCAGGGGGCTTCGATAACACACTGAATTTGTTTTACGGGTATGCATGACCTCTTTGGGAGTGACTGACCTTACTTCCGGAGTCTTTGCTTCCACATTCCCCTTTATCGTACCACCATTTGCTTTTCAGCTTGTCTAAGACGCCTTGCTCACTGAGTTTCAAAACCGCTAGGTTTACGGGACCTCTTCAACCAGGGGGGGAAATAACATAAATAACATTACCAATGTTATTTTATGTTATTCAGCACAGACAGTTCATTCACAGCATTCATTGAACAAGTTTATATATTGACAAAGTGATACAATTGAATACTCCATCTGGCCACCCTCCCCTCCTTCAGCATCCCATTCCCCACCCCCGGCACATTCACACAGCTCGTCCTCCAGCACAGCAAGATGAGTATTACTATATCACTTTGAGTAACCAGCAACCTCAGCCACCTGCCGTGGATACTTGCAGTGCTGTGGCCAACGCGGATGAGAGCAGACCCTCCCCGTCTGCAGTGAAATCAATAGCTAGCAGCACCCTGCACGGTACCTCAGTCTCCTCCATGTTCCCAGGTCCTAGAAAATCCATCAGGGCCTTTGGAGGACTAGGAGGGGAGCTGCCTTCAAGAAGCCCAGACACAATAAAGCGCTTTCTCTCCTTTCTGCTGAAGGAAGAGGCTACCCCAATGGCTGTGCAGATGTGAGCTTCTGCATGCTCATATCTAGCCCCACGGAACTTATTCTTGCATCCCTTTGAGTTTAGCAATCAGAAGGCATGGTTACTCCAGGGCTACAGGATGGTAACACGTCTCCATTTTGATTCCGTTTGCTCTCTCTAGGCGTTGGCGTGCAAGGGGTGTTGGCAGCGCGGTTGCTGGTTACTGTCCATGCTGTTTATACCCACTAGTTTGTTCTTACTGGGGCTGACCTTGGAATCACCTCCCCCGCTGCCGCACTCGCCCTTGTCGTACCACCATTTGTTTTTCAATTTGTCCAAAAGCCCCTGCTCGTTCAGTTTTAACACTGCCAGGTTTACTGGGTTTCTTTAAAATGAATAGATAACACTCGATGAGTAACAAGCGGAGAACACTCGTCAAGTCATGTGACAAAGGGATTGGTGAACCAGCGCCCCCAATCCAGCCTTCCCCCACACGCTTAACTCCCTTGCAATCAGAAAATAATTCCCAGGGATCTCGGTACCTAAGCCACTGCAGGCAACTACGTCCAAGGGATGATTGGCTTTGGGGAATGGCAGTCCACATTTTCTATTTTCTTCTGCAGCAGCCAAATGGGTGTGTAAATGCAAAGATAGACTTCGAAGCACATGGCTTTAAAAAAAAAATTAACGCAAGGGCAGCGATAATGTCATTTGTCGGGGTATAGTCATGGTGCAGATTTGGGGAGTCTTTTGGAGTGGGGGAGGGGAGTCTGGCTCGCCCATTCCTCGAGTGATTCTCACGTCACAAAAGACATATAAAAACAACACGATCAGCAATCATTTCTCATTAAGTCAACACAAAGGAAAACATTTAGTCAATTCAAGAAGAACCGTAACGTGTTCAAATTAACGTGTGATTGAGATACATGTCAGACATTTTAGACATATGGAAACTTAGGGGCAGATCCTTAGCTGGCACAAACCAGCATAGCTCTACTGAGGTCATGTCTATTTATCCAGCGGAAGAGCAGACAGAGTCATTGCATTGTGGCTCAGAGTGAATTAGCCTCACCCCCATCAATTCCAGAGCTTCCAGTATGTGAGAGCTATCGGCCCTTTCCTTAGCTGAGGATGTGAATTCTTTCCAGAACCTTCCCTTCTCACTTCTGATTGTTTCAGTGGGTTATGTATGCTTCCTGGTATCTTTGGTGCATTCCTCTCTTTCTCTTTTTCTCTAATATCTTGTACAAGCATCTCCCAACCGATGGAAAAAAACCTTGACATAAATCCTACTCATCTGGCTGGTGGGTAGGTGCTTTCCTTTAGTTCACTTGGAACAGCAATCTGGTTTGGAGTTTTTCATGTGTAGCACGCCAAGCACTCACTGTGCCATATTCTGCCTTCAGATGCGTTCACACAGCACTTGCTGACTTCAGGAGTAAGCATCTGAGGGCATAATTTGACTTAGTGAGTGTAACCACAGGTTGAGAAGATTTCACCAATGAGCAAAGTTTGTCTCTGGGCCCCGGGGGTCAGACACAACACAGTGTAGGCCTCACACCAGGTATAGGAAAGAAGACAGGCAGAACGAGACTCAACCAGGAGAATGCTTAACAGAGCTTGGAAGAACGGAGCGTTGACAGCTCAATGAATTGCCTTATGGAGTCATAGATTCAAAAGCCTGAAGGGCTCACTGTGATTAACTCATCTGACCTCCTCGGTGTCACAGGACATAGAACTTCCCCCAAAATAATTCCTACAGCAGATCCTTTAGAAAAACATCCAATCTTGATTTTAAAATGGTGAGTGACAGAGACTCCACCATGATCCTTGGTAGAGATGGCAGTCGATGTCTCCAGGCTCTGGGCAATGGATGTGTGAGGGCCCAAGGCCTTCCCAGAAGGGGCAGGACCTCAGATGGAAGGGGCATGGCTGGGGCAAATTGCATAGTTCTTTTGGCCACAGTGTCACATTGGGAGCCGATTTTCCAACATGGACCCCAAATCGTTTTCAGAGTCACTGCTTCCCAGGATAGAGCCCCCCATCCTGTGAGTATGGCCTGCATTCTGTGTTCCCAGATGTTTCCAGTTAGCCATATTAAAATGCAAATTGTTTGCTTGTGCTCATTTTACCAAGGGGTCCAGATCACTCTGAATCAGTGATCTGACCTCTTCATTGTTTAGCATGGAAGTGGGTTGTACCCATGAAAGCTCATGATACCATGTTTTGTTTGTCTTTAAGGGGCTGCTAGACTATTCATTGGTTTTCAAGTTTCTCCAGTTATAGCCTAATGCTCCCACCCCTCTGAAGCTTCAGTTTTTGTGTTGTCTGCTAACTTGATCAGTGATGATTTTAGTTTTCTTCCAGGCCAGTGATAAAATGTTAAACAGCACAGGACCAAGAAATGGTCCCCGTGAGACCCATTGGAAACAGACTTGCTTGACGGCAATTCCCTTTTTAGTTAGAGTTTGAGACTTAGCAGTTAACCAGTTTTGAATCCATTCAGTGCATGCCAGGCAGGGGACCAGCCTTGATGACCTCTCGAGGTCCCTTCCAGTTCTAGTATTTGAAGTTAATTTTGTATCATTTTAGTTTTTTGATTCGAACAGGCTCCGTGTAGCAAATGCTGGAAAGCTGTTAAAGTATCGCGCCTCTGTGGGGAAAGGTGTTTGGTGATTCACTCTACTTGTGTAAGTTGGAGCATATCTACACTGCAAAAACAAACAAACAAGCAAAAACACAACCCCAGAGTGTTTTCTTAAACTGGGATAGTTAAATCAGGTTAAAATAGCAGATGAAGACAGGATAACTTGGCTACGGCCGATAGAATAGCATGGGATTAAACTCAAGCTGCTAACCCGAGTTAAAACTATGTTGCCATGTTTTCACTGCTCTTTTAACCTAAATTCACACTAAGAACACATTTTTTTTGCAGTGTAGACAAACCCTAAGTTGTAAGTTAAATGCAGTGACAGTGACTCTATGTGATATGTAAAAGTAACGAATGATCAAGCAACACACGTGATTATTTCTGTCTTCTAAAGCAGAATGCAAGTTAATTAGCACAGCAGTCTCCAATGAACCATGTGCAGAAGACATAGCTAGCGGATGATCTGCAGGAGTATGTAGTTCCTATGCAGGAATATGTTATTAACACTGTAAGTCCTTGGCAGTACTGTTGAACATAAAAATCACTCTGATATTTTGTGCCATGAAATTGGCTCTTTCTCCAGTTCTCAAGGAGTATACAAAGCTGCCGATATTTCACCGTGACAGGGTCCTTGAAGAAAGATTGAGCTGGCTGCTACTTATTTTCTCTGAAATGTGTCATTTTAGGTGAACTTTTGACAGGGAACATTTGTATTAGTTTATGGGACGTGGAAAAGCTGACACACAAGTTTATGGTGCCTTTGGAGAACTTTGCTGAAAGGCCAAAATGCCAGTTCCAAAAAAGGAACACTTCTATTTCTCATTCCTTAAAACATCTTGCTTTCTTTTAAAAATGTGAATTAGAGGCTCACATTATGGGTGTTTTTTCATTGACTTTCATCTGTTTTGGATAATTTGGCTTTGTGTTACTGTTTAGCAACCACAAGCACTAGATTTACCCATTCAGTGTTGAATGATGTCCAATGCCAGGTTAAGCTGGGGGAGGGGAGCTCTCTTTGGGCATGTCTACATTAGGAAATTATTTTAAAATAACTTATTTCAAAAGAATAACTTCTGAAATAACTATTTTGAAATAATGTGTCTACACTACAGGAAAGCCTCAAAATTAGTCCGAGGCAAGCTCTGTTAATGTGGATGCTCTACCTTGACTTAGAGCCCCAAGAAGTACCGGGGAAGTAACTACTTTGAATGACTCTGGGGAGTAATTATTTTGAAATAGCAGAAGTGGAGCATCCACACTCCTGCTATTATGGCATAACTATTTCAGTAAGCGTTATGCCTCGTGGAAAGCAGGAGTTATTTCAAAATAACTGGCTGGTTATTTCAAAATAATATCAGGCTTGATAGTGTGGACGCTCCACTTTTTTTTTTAAATAAGGGGTTAACTTGTTATTTCAAAATAACTCCCTAGTATAGACCAGGGCTTTCATTAACCCATGTCAGCCTAACATATCTGACACTGAACTGATGGATTGGGAGGAGAGAGTGCATGTGACAGAGGGCAAAGGTTGAATTTGTATGTTTCCAACCCTGCTTCCATTATAGTCAAGGTCAAAACTTTTACTAACTTCAGCGGGAGATGAAACAGTCTTTCAATATCACTTTTACCACTGAAAAAGGGCATTTTATTTATTCTGTGATGACATTCCTGCAGAGATATAGCTGGAAAAGATTATATCTGATCTAAAATTCAATCTCCTAGGCCTGAAAACACATAAAGTGAAGGAATCCACTTTGAACAAAAGAAAAAAGGGCTATCAATCCTGATGAGTAGGATTTCATAAAAGACTAAAACATTACCATGGAGAGATTTTAGAGATTACCAGATGTACTGACTCAAGTGTTCGCTGATGTATCAGGGTATGTCTACACAGAGGGGCTATTTCGAGATATCGGAACTATCTTGAAATAGCTACGCCGCGTCTTTTGAATGGATCTGCTAGTTTGAGATAGGTCTCGAAATAGCGGATGTGCTATTTTGGCATCCCTGTAACCCTCGTTCCATGAAGGTTAAGGGACACCTCGAAATAGCGTGTTATTTCGAAATTTGGTGCTGTGTAGATGCATCAAATTTTGAAATGCTCTATTCTGAAATTCAATCAAAATAAGATCTGCAATTTGTGTAGCACACATTGTGTATCTTATTTTGAGTTAAGGATGCTGTGTAAATGTACCCTCAGATGCTAAACTTAGGAGAAATGGGGACTATGATGCAACCTATGAGGCTTGATGTGTATATATAAAGTTGGTGATCCTCATTTCTAATATCGGGATCCAGCTGCGAAGCAAATCCCCCTTTTGCCCCAAGAGAATGTTTACAACTATGTCTTTGTGTATGTCCAGTGTGAGCACAGGTGAGTGACCTGAGCTTTTAAATGATTTGACACACAGTTTTGTTATGACCTCAATGGGATTTACAACGTCCAGCTCTTTGCTGTGCATTAAAATGTCTTTGGCTATGTCTAGACTACGCCGAAATCCCAAATGAATTTTGCATATCTTCTGCCGATCTCACTTTCGAAAGAAGAGCTTTCGAAAGTGAAAGTAGTTGGGATGCGGTTTTTTTCGGCAACTCCCCCCCCTTTTTTTTCGAAAAGCCGCGTAAACCTCATTTTTGCGGAATTTGCATATCCGCTTTTGGAACTTTGGCATAGTCTAGATGAGCCCTTTCTATCCCAAAGAGCTGTGTTTCAGCAGAAAGTTCCTTTACTGTATACAAAGATGTTGTCATCATCCAGTGAGGACTCATGCCCCGTCTCTTTAGGAAAGTACTATATCCGATGTCAAAACAGAACCCGGGGCAGTGGTTTGTATGTCCTAGATGTGGTTGCCACTTTTGAGTTTTTAGGTTATTAATGCCGGCTGGTGAATACTTTTCTAACTGGAAACAGTAGTCTCTCTTAACATGTATTATGAATTTTCCAGTTTGGGGTTCAACTAAAATGACTGTTCTCCTGGTTTGCTGTGAGAAGTAAACAGCTTTCATTATTGATAGCAGATAGTACGAAAACATCCCGCTTGTGAAACTGATCTTGTTCCCACTGGAGCCAATGTTGAAACTGCTGTTGATTTGAAAGGAAATGAGATACATTCCTTCAGCCAGTGAGCAGGATCTGGTCCCTGGGTGTGAGTGTTACCTAGCTCTGTTGTGTGCAAGGCCCTACAGTGAAGACAGACACCACATGACGACTGGAAAGAAAATACCAGCAAGCTCGACAAATAAAACAAAACAAACATAACGGGCCAGAAAATTGACAGCATTTGTTTCAAAGAAACACCAACAGGTCAAATGGAAAATCAAGCATTCCTCCTTTGCTCTCAGACTGGCTTGGGAATTGGTTCCATGTGCCGTTAACGGAGGGTATAGTGGAAAAAAAGAAGTAGTGGAAATGCTGTGTTCTCCTGCCCAGCACAGACATATATGGACTAGCTGGAGCGAGCTGCTTCTTTTGCGTTTCCTTCTTTTAGTTTTGCTGGTGGGGGTTGTTTTGGTCGCTGTTGTTGTTAAAAGCAATACTAATGGCTTCAGCACATCCCAAACTTTGCAGGACGGACTGATTTTTATGCATTGGTCCTGCCTCTTCATTTCCATATTTGCAAGACGGAAAAAAAAGGGGGAGAGAGAGCGTGCTGGACCCCCCGCCCCCGAACATGTGATAGTGCAGGGATATTAGATTGGAGGGCTCCAAACGATTACCTAGCCTGGACAAGGTTTTCCTAGCAAGATTGACTCATGGACCACCTGCTCTCCATGCACAGGTTAGCAACCTTTCTGCGGGCGACTCAGCGCTTGCTGACATGGAAAGGTAAATAGCAGGGAAGTACTTCATGCATTTTTAAAGCTGGAAGGTGCAAGAGCTGGAAACCCTGGCCCTGGTTCAGGGCCCTTTGATAGCAATGGGATCAGGCTCATAAGACCAATCAGATCTTCATTAGAAAATGGTCTGCAGGGGGCTAGTGATCCAGGACGCCAGTTTAAAACCCTCCACATTACAGTGGTTTATAGGCAGTGAATAGCGGGGCTGACTGCCACTGCAGACCCTTAAGCAAGTTGTGTGGGTGGGTGGGGGGCTGGCTCCATGCCCCCCAGAAGGGGCACCTCTTCAGGTGGAAGAGGGGGGGACAGTCAATCCTTAGTGCTGCCCAGATCACGGAGTCCCCCCCACAGCCCTTAGAGCTGCAGCGCTCTGGCAGTTCAAAGGGGTCTGGGGCTCCAGTCGTCACCGCTGGTGCAGTAGTGGCAGCCTCCAGGCCGCTTTGAATCTCCAGACCCCAGGATCATTGCCTCCTTTTGCCCGCCCCCATCAGTGGCCCTGTCAGTGAACAAGCATCCGTCACTATGTTAAGGCTCCATTAATAAAGGGCTATTTATTGGTCAGTATTTCCAGCAATGAATAAGCAATAGCAGGTGAGTTCGGCAGGTCAACAGATTCCTCATCCCCATGTCTGATCCCCATTCTCGGATACACTTGTTACCACCTGCCCCACACGCGGCTCATGTCAGCGACATGCTTACACCTGCCTCATGGGCACCGACAAGCCCTTTAGAAATGGAACGTTAACGAGAAAGCGCGACCCAAGCAAGGGCACCATTTTGCAGACGGCAAGCAGGAGGGTCAGATTTTGTGACGGTGGCTGCACGTGGCCGTTGGACTCAGCGCCTTTTGGAAAGAAAGTGGGGTCCCAATGCACACACTACAAGGCCGGTGAAGGAATAAGAAAGCTGCACAGGATGCACCCGAGTAGGTGAAACCCTGAAGATTAATTGGGACATAGACAAGCCTCACAGGAGCAGGCTGTTCAGAGCCTCTTCTGTCATCTGGTTCACTGGGTTTCGAAGTTGGGTCGTGGGCCTGAACCCTTTGTTTATCTAAGTGTCCGTGACCACAGAGCCTCGCAGCTCCTATGGGCTGGAAATGGCAGGCCACGCTACTTCCTGTAGCTCCCGTTGGCTGGAAATGGTGAACCACAGCCAGTGGGAGCTGTGGGGCTCTGTTACTAGACTGAGGCCAAGTCTATACTAGACCTGGAAGGTCGGCTGAAGGTATGCAATTCCAGTAAATAACATAGCTGGAGTCAACATACCTTAAGCGAGGTTGGCACCATCTTCACAGTGGGAGGTCAGTGGGAGGTCGATGGCTTCCCTTAGTCTTCACGAGCGCCAGGAATACTGGTGCCGAACAGAAGCACCCTTAGCATTTGATTTAGCATGTCTTTACTAGACCTGCTAAATCAAATACCATAAGATTGATCTCCGGTGTATAAGCATAGACGTGGCCTTAGATAAACAAAGCATCATGGGCCCGCCAGCCGCTCACCCAGGCAGGCCCGTGATCCAACTTTGAAAGCCACTAATTTCTAGTTCTATTGGCTAGCCTGATTCATTCTGGAGCTGTTTGCGGCTTTCTAATCCCTTGGGGCTTATTTTACTTTCCAGCAGGACAGATCCCAAGCTCTTCACTCAGTTTTCACTTAGGCAAAACTCCTACTTGAAGTCCAGGGGGCCTCGGGATTTGGCCCACTATGTTTAATCCCTCACAGAGTTTTGAAAGTGAAAATTATTCTCTGCCCAGTTCATCCGTTCGGACGTTGCTTTCCTACATCTCTCCCCCCAAGTTTTTATGATGCTTGGCTTTAGAGCACACCCCCATGCGGATTGGGAGCTGGTTCTGTCCTTAACTGAAGGGGACACAGGTTGGAATCCATGGGCGAGATCTTATCTAGGTTTTGGATTAGCCTCCAGTCAGCCACAATAAGCCAGCAACTAACCTAGCTGCTTCCATGCCTACCCCCAACAATAGACACAAGGAAAGCCATGATTTGTACCAGTTCAGGTTTTGCCCCGCTTGAAAGTAGGATAAATTCAAATGATGCAAATCACAGCTTTTCTGGCATCTACATGTGGGTTTGTTACAGCACAGCTACACCAATTACTGACCAACAATGGTGAAATCTCAGTACCAACAAGGTCAAAGAGATCTTTCTTTCCAAGTGCTAATGGAATGATTTAAGAAGTGTTTTAAACAATGTGGCGAGAAGACAATGACATCTACCCTCACTTCATGAGGTTTCCTCTTATGTTTCTGACATTATAACCCAGCTAGTCCTCCAGCTGTCTACACAGTCTTTCAGAAAAGGCCTGGATTTCTAATGTTAAAAAAGGCAGGTAGAAAAATACCTTTAATTAAAAAAAATCCTCCAAACCAAACAAAGAAAAGATGCAAAAGCATTTATCTTGGGGCATAGATTTAGGTAGCAAACCATAAGCACTCGTGAGAAAATGTTGCCTCCATTATATCTTCTTCCCATATTCTTTTGTATTTATGATCATATTAAAGGTCTGGATTTCGTGCCTTTTAAAAGGGTTTGGATTTTTTTTTAAAAAAGCCTTCACTAATATTTTATCTGCAATGGGGTTTTGGCACAGGTCTTGGGCAACTGCTGTTTTGGGTTCAGAAATGTGGGTCTTGAACTTCCTGGAAGATGCCAAGAGCCCAAAACTCAGCATGTGAGCAGAACTCTTGAAATGAATTATGAATTGTGGCTTTTAGCAAGGATGAGAACACTTCATTTTTCATGTTGTCCTCGAGGGTTAGCATTTCTTTGCACACACACGCACACCAAAATACTGGTCCCACAAGAATCCCTCTAAGCACGGATCCGAACCAGGGCCGTCCCATGCATTGCAAAGATATGCATTTCGCAGGCCGTGGGAGGAGCCCTCCTTCAAAAGAATGCTCTGTTAATCAATGGTTACGAAGCAGCAAAATCCCTTACGCAGTGCAGCCACATTCATAACAAATGGACCAGTCGGGGGCCAATTTCCATGTGCAGGGTCTGAAGAATTAGTCTCTGCCATCATTTTTGAGCAGGAGTCGTGTCGTTTAATGGCCTCCTGCCGAGGATTTACACCCCCTGCTCTCATGATTAATACGGCAATGGAGTCTGAGCAGTGGGGATACATTGATGTATTGGGCTGCAGGGCAAGGAAAAGCAAATCCAGGCTCCTTACCTCAGCGCAGACCCCTTCGGTGTTGCAATGCCATAGCCTTTGGAATCCAAGTTACCTCCCACCTTCATGGTGTCACAGGGCTTGCGCTGCTCTATGTACTCGTTCATGGTGGACTCCAAGAGGTAGGCGTACTTCCCTTTCGACTTCCTCACCCGGATCATCCCCTCTTCTGTGGTCCTCACAAAAACGGAGGGTTCCGCGGATTTCATGTACGTCCACATCTTCTCAAACACGGCGATTTTCGACCGCTGCGCGGGGCAAGACAAACACAGTGTGTATTAGGGTTGTATTGCCACAGGGACAGGTAGTAGTTAAGGAAGGCCAGCTATGAAGGCATGGGCAGTGGGTAGACCTAGGGCAGGGAGAGCCAAGCCCCAGCCCCACCTCTTCCACCCAAGGCCATGCCTCTTGTGGGAACCACAGCCCTCTCTCTCCCTGCAGGGACAGGCCTCCAGCCTCCCAGGTGAGCCTCCTCAGCCCTGGAGCACAGGGAGGGGGGCAGTGCATGGTCCCGGCCTCCCTGGCTCCAGAGCATGGGGTCAAGCAGGCATCCTCAGTCTTGGAGCACAGGCAGGGTGCACTGCTCCAACATCCCCAGCCTCAGCGAGGCTGAAGTCCCAGGGCAGCCTGGGAGCTGTGCTGAAGCAGGGGCATTCTGGGAGGAGAGTGTGGGCAAGGCCGTGCCTGGCAATTTGGGAAGGCAGAGCCTTCCCTTGCCTATGATACCCACTGCCCATATATGTTAGAAATAGTTTAATGAGTAACTTGTAGCTCAAGGTATTTAAATACCCTGCAAGCCTTCTTGGCCATTTGCATCAAGGAATTTCAGGATAAGAACAATCAAGCAACAGGGGAGCATCTACCCAGGGCTGGATTGTGTCTGCTAAGCATGAGCAGTGAGGGGTTTTATCTCCTTTGGGGAACAATGGAGGGTGGAAATCTGAGCAAGTAGAATTCTCCGCAGAGTCCCTGGAGTGGAGGGAGAGGGCACCCTTGGTTGGAAAAGAGAGGTCACAGGAGGAGCGGATGACCGCAGGCTAGAAATACTGTACTTTGAGTGCATCGATATACTTGGTAGTAAGGTCTGCAGGTTTTGAGAAGACCTTCATGGGAATGTTATAGGAAGCAAAATGAAGGAAGTAGACGACATAATCTTTTCTGCAATGTATGCTTCTGCCTTCCATAATGGCAGCGTATTTATGTATGGTAAGTGGCTCCATGTAATTACAGGGCAAACCAAAGACTTATTATTCCGTAAACTTGAGTTGCAAGTCACAGGGTAATTACTTTTGGAACTGCCAAGTGTAATTACTCAGTAATGTGCAGAAGCATGTAATTACTGTATGTTTCTTGGGTATTTACAGAACTCAGCAAACTCCGCGTGCGGCAGTTTCCAAGGCATGGCACAAAGGCTGACAGAATGGTTTTGTTTTGTCTATTAATCTCTTACCCATTTGCTCTTACCCTAAAAAACTCTTTCGTTGACCCGGCTTCCAGAGTCCCGTAGGCAATCTCTGTCTGCTTGGCTAAGTCCTCTGCACTCTCTATGGGTGACACCATCCTCTCCACCGTCAGGAAGGCAGCCAGGTTAGCCGTGTAGGAAGAGATGATGATCAAGGTGAAAAACCACCAGACGCCACCAACTATGCGGCCAGAGAGGGATCTAAAGACAAAAGGGAAGGGTGAGGGGGATCGGCAGAACGGAGCAGAAGATAGAATTCGGAGCTACAGGCCAGATGTGCGGTATGTTGCTTTATACTATATCAGTTACTACCAAAACCATACCAGCTCTACCAATTTCCTGGAAAGCTCAGATCCAAAATGGGAGGAAAACCCTCTCTCTTTCCTTCCTATATGTGTCAAGATTCAGGCTAGAGTGAAACAAAATGATCAAGACTGGTGAAAAAATGATGTTTGTGGAGAAATATTTTTTTAATGTTCCTTTCTCTCAGAGTTTTTAAAACATGGTGAAACACAGCAACAAACAACAGGAAACTTTAAATTCCTGGGCAGGGTAGTACCGACCTCAGATGGAGTTTTTAACACGTATCAGGAACGCGTGAAATCCTAGCAATGATCTATGCCCAAGATTAGATAAGGGTGGTAAAATGATCAGTCGTGTGCAGAAAAGGCAGAAATACTTCATCCCTGTTTCTCCTCTGTATTTGATTCCTAGGTTCATGGAATATAAGGCTGGAAGGGACCATCATGTCATCTAACCTGACTTCCTGTATATCACAGTCCAGTACATTTCACCCAAGGTACCCCTGTGCTGAGCCCATTTGGAAACAAACAGGATGATGTCACTGTTATACTATAGTCATAAAGGAATGTTTTCTTTTCCATCAGGAACGAGGAAGGACATTGAACAGCAGCTATTAAATTCAACATTTGTAAATCTGCAGAACAAGAGAATTTGTTTTAGCCTGTATGGGTACTTGTCAGAGTATTAAAAGAATTGGCCAAGATACTCTTTGAAACAATGCTGATTTTTTAACAAATCTTGGAACAGTCAATAGGAAAGTTTCAGAGGAATGAAGAAAATCTAATGTCATACTCATAAGAACATAAGAACAGCCAGACTGGGTCAGACCAAAGGTCTATCTAGCCCAGTGTCCTGTCTGCCGACAGTGGCCAATGCCAGATGCCCCAGAGGAAGTGAACACGACAGGTAATCCTCACGTGATCCCTTCCCTGCCATCCATTTCCAGACAAACAGAGGCTAGGGACATCTTTCCTACCCATATTTTAAAAAACAACAGGATGCCTTGGATTCGCTGATTAGCCTGACATAAATCCTGGATAAAATCATGGAAAGGCTGTTATGGGATGCAATGAGTCGTGAATTAAGGAGTGATATCATAACCAATGAGAAGCCAGCATGATTTTATGGAAAATCGGTTTTATCAAACAAATATCTTTTTTTTGTATGAGATGACAAGTTGATTGATAACGATAATTGCATTGCCATAATATATTTAGACTTCAGTGAGGCATTTGACTTGGTTCTGCATGACTTTCTATAAAAAGTAACACGATACAAAATGATTGTAGCACATTCTAAATGGATTAACCAATACATCACAAAAATTAACCATAGTAAATCAGTAGCCAATGAGAATGCCTTTACTAGGGACCCCCTGGCTTATTGCTCATTGGCCCAGTGCTATTCAATATCTTTGTCAGTGATCTGGAAAAAAACATTAAATCGTTGTTGATATGAAAATCGGCGGAGTAGTAAATCATGATGGGACAGGTCAGTTATATAGACAGATCTGGATTGCTTGGCAAACAGAGATGACTTGAAGAAGGACAAGGTGAATCTCCTATCCCGGGAGACTGTACATCCAGACTAGATAGCTTTCTCAAAGATATGCCATGACTCACGCAGAAGTTATGGGTTTGATGCAGAGTTTAGCTTGTGAAGTTTCTTGCCGTGTGTTACGCAGGAGGGCAAACTCTATGATCATAATGGTCCTTTCTGGCTTTATAATCTATGAATCTATTGTACTGTCCCTCTAGTCAGATTGCCAATGAACTCCAGGCATCTGAAGACAGGAATTAATTTATTGCAGTGAAACATCTATAGGAACCTCTCTAGCCCAGTACCCTCAGGGCCTGAACCAGAGAATTTGCTAAACCGCAGGAGGTCAGTATTGTAGACAGCAGGTCTCTCTGGGTATGTCTACACTACCCCGCTAGTTCGAACTAGCGGGGTAATGTAGGCATACCGCACTTGCTAATGAAGCCCGGGAAATTCAAATCCCGGGGTTCATTTGCAAGTGCGGTATGCCTACATTACCCCGCTAGTTCGAACTAGCGGGGTAATGTAGGCATACCGCACTTGCTAATGAAGCCCGGGAAATTCAAATCCCGGGGTTCATTTGCAAGTGCGGTATGCCTACATTACCCCGCTAGTTCGAACTAGCGGGGTAATGTAGGCATACCGCACTTGCTAATGAAGCCCGGGAAATTCAAATCCCGGGGTTCATTTGCAAGTGCGGTATGCCTACATTACCCCGCTAGTTCGAACTAGCGGGGTAATGTAGGCATACCGCACTTGCTAATGAAGCCCGGGAAATTCAAATCCCGGGGTTCATTTGCAAGTGCGGTATGCCTACATTACCCCGCTAGTTCGAACTAGCGGGGTAGTGTAGACATACCCTCTGTGTTTATTTCACAGAGGAGAATACATGGATACACTGAGGCACTTACAGTGCTGCTTAATAATGTACAACAGTTCCGATATACCCTATATAAGCCTATGTCTAGCCAAGGCTGATCAGCTCTCTTCGTCACAAAGCGCTGGTGTTGTTAAACACTTTTACTGTATTAGCACAAGGAAATAAGCAGATAAAACATAAAAACCAGGCTTACACTTAGCAGCATTTCCAACACTTCCACTGCTTGCTGGGCTCTTAGAAGACATGTAGGGGTATATTAGAGCACAGAACACTGAGAGCTAGGACTGGTAGCTGTAAACAAACTTTATAGGACTACGGGAAACTTGGCCACACCCATGATAAGTGGAAACCAGTGCTTTTTTTGTGATGGTACTGCCTGGTACGCAGTACTGGCATCTCCAGACGCGATACCAACATCTCCAGTCAGAGCTCAACAACTTTTCCCATGGAGTACTGGCACCTTTTTTTTTTAAACAAAAAAAGCACTATGGATAACCAACTAACTATAATTATGCCAAACCATAGATGTTGCTGGACTAAAGAGTGCCAGACTACAGAGGTTCAACCTGTACTATACATTTTTAGAGCAGAGTTTCTTAAACTTTATAAGATGGAGGAACACTAAACAATATTTTTTTTTATGAGGAACACCAAGGATTTTTTGTTGAGGAAAAACAAAAACTGTCTGGGAAAAAGTTATTGAGAAAAAAAAAAGTCACCTGCTGCTTTAAGGGCAGCCATTTTGAACTCTGTTGTTCTCCACAGCACACCTTTGACTGCCTCACTTTAAGAAACACTGTTTTAGAGAGTTTGTCTGTTTGATCAAGAACTTCTCATAAATGCTAAGAGCTAGGACTACCGCATTCAGTATACAGCTTCCTCTTATCATAACTTAAAGCAATGTAAGGGCTTGGTTGTGCCAGGAAAATGAGATGTGTCTGAAATGGGACTGCTTCACATAAAACCAAATGGAAAAGAGACAATCACCAAAGCAAGCACAGTCCTCACCATTGGCATAACTAAGCAAATGTTAAAAGAGCCTGAACCATGATGAGCCAGAAACATAGGATAAACCTGGCAATGCATCTTTCAGAAAAGAGATAAAAAGGAGAAACTTGGAGTAGAGCTGTTTTGGCATTCCCACGCAACTGCAGGTAAATCTGCTACTTTTCATATAATTGAAAAAGGAAGCTTCTATTCTGAAAAGGGATTTTAATAATGATGCTCCCTCCCCAAATTGCTTGAACTTTCTTTCCTTTTTAGCCAAATCCATCTCTCAATCAGGAAAGAAACCATAATGCTAGTTTATTCAGCCCAGCTGGCAAGGAGGGGGTTTACTCAGTAGAGAAACTGCCTCTCTCCTTTTCTCTCGGCAGTGCATCTTTTTAACATCCTCTGTCAGTGCCCAGAAATCTGGCCAGGATTATGGTAATGGGAACTACAGCTTTTAAGTGACAGACACAGCGATGACACATGTCAGCTTCCATGCCATCTCGTGTCTAGGTTTGCAGGAGTTAATGGATCCAGCTGTCATGTTTTCTAGAAGTCATTGCATTCTAATACAATGTGGCAAACAAAACTGCACACTCCATTGCTCCAGCTAGGGGAAAAACCTACCCTTCGCTAATCACCGAAATCAGAGCTAGAAAAGAGAGTGAATTAAAGTAGTCTGCTTCCTACACTGCTCCTCTGTATCGTATGGTACTGCTTTTTCCAGGCTATCTTGAAATATCTCAGATGTGGGAGTAGCTGGTCCTTCAGACATCATTTACTCTCATTTATATCAACCTGGCCTGCAATCCCTTTGGTCAAAATTGCCATTCTTTGAGCTCAGAGAGACACCACCTAATGGAAACCTGGGACCATATTTTCTCAGCAACAACACTCTTCTGAATACATGTGCAATTTGCAGAAGAGAGACCACACATTTTAATTCTGGAGAAACAGAAGACAATGCATCAAACTGACTCTGAGCTTCCCACTCCTGGAAGAGCAATCATAGCAGGTTTTGCAAATTGCAGAGAGAGCAGTCTGCGGAAATAGACACAGTAAATAACACGGACTAAACAGCAAACTATTTATTTTACACAACATTGTTTTTTCCTTCTGTTGGATTTGTGAGTGACACGCTTGTGAACGAAATAGAACTGGTCGGAGCCAGGCTCTGGTTAAGCATCTTTCCAGCCCCTCTGGAAGGGTATCTCAATGCTGAACTGTAGCCCCCGTGGCTATTCCAGTCCTAGGACTTGCTTAACCAGTCATGTAAATTGCATGCTGCTCCTGTGATGTCAGCAACCTCGGAACGCTGAGCCGGAGGAGAAAGATTTCAAAGCAGTGAAATGGACAGTTTCCTGTAGAATCCCATTTTCTGAGCGCATTAATACAACATGCCTCTGAAGTGAGGCTCAGAAAGGTGCCACCGTTTCTTTTCGTTAATACAATCATCTCTTACAAAGCAGTAAGACCCCTATATGTTCCA